GGTTTTATGGACATTTCAGTATTTTCATAGTTGAAATTTGTTGTAAGTTATCACCTCACTGAAGACAATTGATGAACGGTTGCTCAATTTCGTGGATTGGTTGAAGTTAGATATTAACACCATCGAGTGCCGGCTCAGTGGTCTAGTGTTTAAGCGCTCTGGCGTGAGACTGGTAGTTCCTAAGTTCGAATCCCACGAGGCGGGATCGTGGATGCGCACTGCTGAAGAATCCTACAATAGAGCGAATTAGTCGTCCAGTATTTCTAGGTTTTCCATGGTGGTCTAGGCTCACATAGTATCAATGTTGACTATTTGAATAATGTGCATTATATTAAACTATATTCATTAGATGTACTTTTAAATGTATGTAAATTTATTCATGTCATCGTGGCTATTATAAATCAATTTCAAGATAACAAAAAAATTATTCATTCAGATGATCAATCGATCGATAAAATTGATTAAAAGAACATAGTATTGATGATCATTGACCTTCATTCATAAAATCAATATACTACTTCTTTGATAGATTTAGTATTTTTGAATGTGTTTTAGAGAATAAATTTCTTTAATAATTACTTCAAGCTAAACCACCATGGAAAACCTTGAAGTACTGGACGACTGTTTCGTCCTATTGTGGGACTCCTCAGTGGTAGTGCGCATCCACGATCCCGCCTCGCGAGAGAGATTCGAACCCAGGATCTATCACTCTCGCGCACGAGTGCTTAACATCTAGACCAATCAGTCGGCATGCAACGGTGTTAATGTCTAACTTTAACCAGTGGAGTTCAACCGCGAGGCGGGATCGTGGATGTGCACTGCCACTGAGGAGTCCCACAACAGGACGAAACGGCACTCCTGTGCTTCAGCCTTTTCCATGGTGGTCTAGCTTCAAGTGACTCGTGATCTCAACTATTAAAATTACTATAATATCAAGAAAACCGCTTCTGATAAAAAATTGTTTGACTTTTCCAGTATCCTCTTCAACTATGTTGTTTATTTATTTTACAATGATTGTACTAATATGGTGTATGCTAGCATACTTATATCAATATAAGTAGTATATAACAATAGTCAGGAACAGAATATCTGGCAACAAAAGGTCCAGAAGGAAAGAATGGGAACAGATAGTAATTGGTATGGGAATGTAAGAAAAATGAAGTCTGAGACAATTGACTGATATTTTCCAAATGAAATAATGACTGTATGATACTGAGATTTAACTAAGAGATTTTGTAATTTTGTATTCCAATATATTCGGTTGTCCCCCAATTGTGTTCTCGTTTACTACACTAAGAATTAGTTTGTTGGATAAACAATGTTTATTTATACTTGTGGTTAAATAATACTTACTTTGGCATACGATCCAATTCCCTTGAATGGATCATGTATATGGAGTTATCCATGATTTTATTCATTTCCCTGTTCATTATTGAAGTGTAGTTTTGATTGATAGTTTCATCTAAACTACAAACGTTTCCTTATTTTTATGTGTTTTATTCAGCATGTTGGGTTATGGGTATATTGACTTATTCATAGAAGGAAGACATTTATTGATTAATTCAAACGTTTTAAATGAAATTTTTGGTGGAAATTACTCTCGGATATGAAATACATTCAAAAATTGAAAGGGGAAAATAAGTGAGTGTGGTGGATACAATGAAATAGTTGAACATTAAAAATTTTGTGGATAACCTAAGTGTTATATCGAGTGCATGCATACGTCCCCTGTTTAATATATGACGTGATGATATTCGCCAATGAGAGAGGAGTGAATTATCGATCAGAGCAATGATACACGAAAGCCGTATGAGCAGTCTAGAGTACTTATCAGTCATGATATTTGCCTAGCCCAGCCAGTTAAGTCCAGAACACCAATAACAATCTCTGCAATATGAATCATTACTACTCTCAAACATACTGGGCTTATATACCAAACAAACAGATAACATCGTAGCAATAAAATAGAAAATAATATTTGTACAAGATTTAACCAAATGTGGCTGTGAATAGGGGGAACAGTAATTAATGGACTATGGATAACTCAAGAATGGTAAATCGTATAATAATATTCTATAAACCAAAATGAAGCTTATAATAAGAGGGACATGAATACGAATAGTTTAATTACTTAACAATTATACAATAAGAAATATACATATCATATCGGTCCATAAATAGTTCTTAAAGTTACCATTCCTAAATCTCCACGAAATATAACACAAAGCGAAAAAATTGTTAGCTATGCTTTCACTGCTGAACAAAACATGATTCAACCAGTCATAAATCATATGTATACATGAGAAAGAACTTCTGTTCATGTTATATCCCCTTGTGAATTATGAATGGTAACTCTAAGGACTATTTATCGACCAATGTATTATGTCTATTTCCTATTGCACGTTCATATATATTACGAGTCCATACGTTATAACAGTTCACATGTACAATCAGCTCTAATTCAATAGTGGAGTATATTTGCATTATTATTACAGCAAACGAAAACCTCACCTTTAATTGATTTGCCAAGTATATAATCAAGTCTTCGTCTATAAATTATACTTTTTTATGCAAGTTATTAATATTATTCAATTGCTTAAATTAAAGTAGATTTGGCGGGATTCAAAACTGTGACCTACTAGTCGAAAGATGATTAACTTAATTATCAAAACATTGCTTTGTAAAGGAATCCTAACTTAAACATCCAATGAGATAACTTCTTTATTGGTGAGCTAACACAAATAGACATTGTATTATTATACATTGTAAAAAGAAAATCTTTAAATTTTTTTTAAATAAACGGGTAACACAAAATTTGATCTGGCATTAGTCCTCTATTATAGTATACACTTCATTAAAATGTTTAAATATATTCAAGCTATTAGCATTTGATAAGTAGTGTAGAGTAAACTACAAAAAGATAAAAGCGAAGAATAGGGTATGATAGGTGTATAAAAAGTTTGACCTTCTATTAACAAATATAGATGAGTAATAAAGGTTTTACATTAAAGCTACCTATAGTAAAAACCCGAAATGATGTTCTTTACCTTGGTAACAGAGTTCAAATTGCATCGTCTTCATTCAAAAATCTCGCATGTACCAGTAAACCGTATTCCCAGGTTAATTAAGATGTTTAATCTCAATAACATTTATCAGATTAGGTAAATAAAAACAAGATATGAATGACAAAACTTACAGAATCGAACTGTAGGTTGTAGTAATCATATGACAAGTGATATTTACGTAATTCACAGATACGTGTTTGATTTCTAGTTACTGTAATGAGAAACTCGACAACTACTGACATGATAATCTTCCGAGTGTATGTACTTCGTTTCATTCGAAAGTTGTCAGCTGAATCACATGCACCGCAAATTTAATGGATATAAACCCATTCACTTCAGATATTGAATGTGCTACTCACTGAGTTATCGAACATCCCTAGGACGAAGATCACTACATAGATCTCACGGCTACACATTATTCAACTTTGCCTAAAGATAAATGCTTATTATTTTGACTTGTTTTCAGCTCTAGTATAGTTAACTCACTTTACTGTAAAATGTCATTATCTTCATTTGGGTCAAATTATCAGTTCTCCTCCACGTGTTATGTATGCCTGAACACTGATTACCACGACGCGCTATGCTGACTAGCATTCGCGATGGTTGGGGGAGAGTGAGGGGCGGCCAAACCAAAACGTGGCATCAGTCCATACAGTCACTAACTTCTAGTCTTAGCCATGTTGGTAGATGCAGACTACTTGGTTGGAGTCCGCGTGATTATCGTAACCAATGGTTGGAGACTGTAGATGACATGGCTCAAAATCGATCACAATGGCGTGCATGTATACACTCTTTGTCTTCCCTTAAACAGTGAGATTAAAATCGCTTCATATCTGTCTTGCTTCCTATACTGTATCCTTGTATACAATCTTTCTTTCCTGTATCACCACCACTAAACTAACTACTTCTATGAATCCGGTGTTCATCTTGTTGTGCTAATAAGGTATGTCAACTTGGACCGATGCATAAATGTGCCTGGTCCTACGTTTTAGCTGACCAACTTATATTCTATTGTTTTTTATTAAATAATGATTGCTTGCTTATATTAGATTTTTCTTGAAACTATATTGATGTAATCTGTTTTTTTTGAAATCGAGCGGACTGATTATCCTCCTTATTAAATTATAATTAATTTGCACAAAAATATTTTCACAGTTTGTACAATATAAGAATGTTTATCATTTAATGAATCAGTGATGTAATGATTTGGCTAAAATTTTGCTTTAAAGGAAGAATGAATTGTTTCATATGGAAGCTATTTCAATGGTAATATTTTGTGTAGTTTTATTTTGACATGTAATCATTGTTAATAATGTAACAACACAAATTTACTTCTTATCAGTTGTTAGTGATTCAAGCTTTAAATAAATATATCCTCTGCAAAGCTTTTCAAAGGTGTACTAGGAGATCTTGGCAATTTCTTGAGAGTATTTAGAAGTGTAAAAATAATTGAACCAATCATCGTTTTTTTTGTTGAAAACTTACAAAAAGATTCTAGAAAGTAATGCTTCATACTTACATTATACTGATTAGATATTCATGAAATAACTCTTAAAAACTTTTAGAATTGCGCATTTAACCATAGCCCTATAAACACTTTTGTGTTTTTGTAGATAAACTAACATTTGAAGTAAAGTTCTCGACATATTTCCCACCATCTGTAGACTAATAAATTCGGTTACAAAAGTATCACAATGCTATCTGACTTAACTTTTCAGAAAGAACTGGAATTAGCTATCTTGATATTGACTCAAGAATGATAATATGAAGTGTGTAATTGTTTACTCTTGATCAAAATTTAGTTCAATATTTAATATCAACTTATACTTAATTTCGAAGTCATTAGAATCTTCACTTGAGTTACACAATCAATATCATTAACACAAAGCATAAACTACAAGGAATAGAGCATAACAGAAAAAAAAACACAACAATCATTTCCACACATTAGAAATTCTTTATTTATGTTACTGTGCACGGTAAACATAATATAACTTCAAACATTACAATTACAAAAAAAAAAGATCCATTATCCGGTTAACAAAAAAAAAAGGAAATACAGTATCTCTAATTCACCATGAAAACGATTATAAAAGTAGAATTTTTGAGAGAACAAAAAAAAACGAAAAGAAAACTATTGGAAGAAAAAAACAAACTATATCATCTTAGTCGTTTATCATTTATTAAATTATATAATTTATACACTCTGTTACTTTTCATGATCTCTTTCGCTATCATTTAATCACTCTATAGCAGTTGTGTGTGTGTGTGTGTATGTGTGCGCACACACAATCACGTGATTATAAAGTTATCACACTACAACATAATACACCTATAGAAGTGAATTACTTCAATCTATAACATACACACACACACACATAGTCACCGATAACCATTATAATATTAGTAGTAATAAGAAATAAGTAACTATGAAAGACAATAACAATAATAATAATTAGAAAAGAAATGATATAATTACAAAATTTCTTTAGTAATAGAGTACAATGCATAGTGAATTATGTCATATCAATGAACAAAATACTTCACTACACAAAGTAACACACAGTTTGAAAGTATTAAAAAAAAAAAGATATTCAGAAAAAGAAAGAAAATAAAGTAGATTCAAATAGAACAGAGATAAACAACTGATAGACGAACGTTCTCCCTCTTTCGCCTTTAACATATTCACATTCGTGTAGAAGGAAAATGTACAACAATAGAAAAAAGAAAAAAAAAAGGAAAACAGAACAATCACTGTTTAATTTAAAGTAATGGTACTTAATAAGAGAATGAGGATGGGGAGATGATGATATCATCCATGTTACACATTACACCATGTACACATGCAATAACATTACACGTATACAAATCTTTGTCATTAAAGAAAATATAGAATTCATCCTACATAAAATAACGTAGAGAGAGAAAGCGAAAAAAAATAGTGAGAACAGAGCACAAAACATCAATCATGTCCCTTTTCTTCCATTTCTATAAGTTGAATGTATTCAAAAAAAAGGAGATGTGTTATATGAACAAAATTACAGGATGTCAGACTATATGTATATACCTACATGTTTATATTTTGTTAGAATTCATCATGTATAATTGTATATCGCATTCTTGATGGGCTTAAATGTTGGAATACAGAAACATGTGGTGTAGTCTACAATCGAAAAAACAAACAACGAAATGTTTTAGCTAGTAAGTTTTTTTACAATATTAATACTACTTAAACGGAAAAAAAGTAGTTAAAAATATTAAGATAAAAAATACCTTGTTTGGCCAATGAAACTCGCTATATATGGTGTTTGTATAGGTTAACGCAATTAAATAAAATAAGTTAATAGTTGCTTCTGAACATGTCTAAATCCATAAAAGAATGGTGATTATTGGCTGATATACAGAAAATGTTTAAATTCCTTAGAATTCTAGTTATACGAAGATTTGAATATGCTGACTGATTATTCACTGAAGTAATGACAAATAATATGTTTGACTGGTCTAGTAGAACAGTGAGGATTTTTCATTTGATCCTCATTTGTAAATTGTATCTAACAGATTCTTTACCTTTTGAGATGTAAATTCATGTAAATACATGACGTCATGATGATATATTAGTGAGTATTTCGGAACACGTCAAGTTGTTTTATTTCTTAAACACTACCTATTGCTCATAGATAGTTTGAAAGTAGAAGTATTGACAAATGAAAATCATCAGTTGAAACAGATCTCGTTTACTAACCCTGTAAAAGCGTAATGAGCAAGGTAATTATAGATTCATCCAAGAGGTTAGTAGTATTTTATGTTTTGTATTATACCTTGAGTTAATGTCCAACATTCAAAATGAAATTATGACGAGCATATGAATAACCAATGTACAAACCAATGGTTGACAACAGATGAGTGCTCCTCAGTTAAAAAAAATCAGTTCAATACCATATGTACTACAGTGAATCAGGATTAGATAGATAGGTATAATCCTTCGGTAGCCCCATAACACTGATGAGTCACTACCTGTAGTGAGTTGTATTAGTAAAGTAAATTCACGTCAACCAGCTACTATGTAGAACATAGTGAGTTGCAATAAAACATAGGAATATCGAGTGAATAAACCATTAGAGACTAGTGAAAGATGTAGCACCGATACATTTACATAATGTGATTATTTAGTATTAAGAAACAATATAAGGTTCCAATCATAGATTATGTATAAGTTACCTACTGTTAAAATCATTTGAGTAGTATTACAGGGCATAGATAAATAAATAATCGGACCACCTACTTTGACTGATTCGTCATCCTCGGTTATTGGAGATGTAGTCGTTGTTCCACCGCCTGGTCCATAATGATATTCCATGTGTAGTTTACCAGATTTTAGATCTTCAACAAACTGATCCAATAGTTTTGGATCACTAGAAAAAAACCCAACAAACCGATAAAAAGCAAACAAGAGAAATATGAATGGAAAAAATAAGGGAAGAAGGACACACATATATATGCATGGTCATAGTATATTGTAGCAACATCAGTTAGTCAAACGCAACATAGAACCTGCCAAACATGTGTATCAGTTCAATGTGCCAAACCTTGTTGGTACATTAAGGTGAAATTATTACAGTATCTCATATCCATAACTCAGAGCATTAAAAGTAGTAACAATGTTAATGATAATAGAAAAGATTAAACATCGATTCGGGAAGGAAATGTGGATAAGTGGAAAGAAAAAAAAAGAATTATAAAGTATCTCAGAAACTCTGGATCATTTGGAAAAGACTGTATCCACCTGAGCTGTTGCGAACGTTTTCTAGCTGATTCACCTATAGTCTCCAACCATTGGTTATGATAATCGGGCGAACCTTAATCAGATAGTCTGCACCTAATCTAAATGAGATTATTTTTCGAAATTTTCGAAGTGAACTAGAATTATTTACAAACATTAAAATGACAGTCTGACTGAGTAACATAGATTGATTAGCACTTTCTGCATAGGTTGGTAAAAAGCGTCTATACAGATATACTATTAATTGCAGGTTTGTCTGAATATTATTCTTCCAGAAATTATCGATCTAGAACTGACAATTTCCAAATAGAATTCATGCCCGTATTTGTCTGTATGGATTGATATGAGTGATCAAATGTTATGTTGTTTTTATAGTCATTTTGTGTTCGATCTTAGACAAGATCAAAAACATACAACTAAACAGCAACGAATTTATGGTATATTCCGAGAATGACAAATTTCCTTTTACAAGAAAAAAATTCGCCTAAGTTAACACATCATAGCTGCTCATCAATGAAGAACAACTCTCCGAACATACTTAATGCATCGGGTATGTTCAAAAGAGCTTATCCATCTATGCCTTTCAACACATTTTCAATTTAATGGGTAGATTAACAAACACACTAAAACGACTCTAATGAGATACTCTTTATCAGAACTAATCACACAGAGTTAATGATATAGTAACTAATGATCAAATCGATTGGAGTATAAACAATACATAAAATTGGTTTCTCTCGATTGTCTGCAATATTTGATTACATCTAGAAAAAGGAGTGATTGTATAACTTATTCAGTTAGTAATACCCTTTCTCTATGGATGCTTAGTTGTATGATATTGTAAATACGTGTTCACACATTAAGTTTTGATAAAAATTGATCATAAAAACAACTCAGGGTAATTTATACAAATCTGACTGTGAATATAAAATAGTGTAGTCGGATTTAGTTTCGATTTACTTTTGAGGTCAAATAGATCCATTTTGATCATCTTTGTATTCTTAATTGAATCGTCAGATCCTCAGTTACTAGGTACTATGTCAGTTAAGTATTCCGAAGATATAATGGTTATGAAACGTTTTAAGGTCATAATTACGTAGATGAAATATTTGTCATTTACAAGACAGATTAACTTGAAAACATCCACAAAATGGTTAACAACACATCTTCGATAACATCAAACTAAACGGAGAATAATCAACTGACAAATTTCCATTCTTCAACATAGTGTTTACAATTCTAGTTAATTATTAAACCTAAGGTTTGACAGGATTGAACATAGGTTAGAATAGATACAACTAAACAACACAAAAGAACAGAGCATTCAACTAACCTTAATGCCATCTCTAGTGACCCAGGATATACATACATATGTGCAAATGAATCTAGACAGATAAACGGTAGATCTTCTTTAGATTTGCCTAGATGAGCTAATGGATGTGAAAAAGTGATTCCGTTCGCTGTTACAAAATTGATTGTAGCTGAATTATGACGACGGTGGAGGGGGAGACGAAGGTCAAAGGGATTGAAAGTAAAAGAAAAGTAGGAAAAATTAGGATGTCATTACAACAAATGATAAACAATATAAGGTCAATTAATATTACCACTATTGTTCAATGAAGCACGATATGTTCATTTAAATGTCTTGAAATTACTTGACATTGAATGGCGTTAACGTGAACATCAAATGTACATATTTATGAAGCGTGCAGTTAAGAAGTAGTTGATAACCATAGGTTCCTAGTATCTAATCAAACACCCCATTAAAGCTATACCAACACATATGGTGAAATAATCGAGATTAGACGCCTACTTTACAAGATGTAGATGAGAAGTCAGTTGATGAGGTGGTAGTGGATCTTCATTGACTTGTTTTATTTATTTAAACACATAAATATTGGTACAAGGAAGCACCAGATAAATATGCGCCTCACAAATCTCATTCGATTTTTGTGAGAGCTGTGATACTGGCCAGGTGCCAAAACTGAAGCAGGTGGTTTTCTTAGGGGGCCACACCCGGAGCCTTTGACCTAAAGGTCTAGTCTACAAGGCAGTGGAGCATCATGAGGAGATGCAGTCCCATGGTAGCCGGTGACCAACATTTGGTTGATACGCCATTCGTTCCTTCAGGATACTGGAGCCCATGTGCACCGTTGGTTTGGAATCAGGGTTTTCCAACTCCCCTAGGTGGATCCTCCACATCCACCAACCCGGTTAAAGCGCCGGACATTCACTTTTCGTCCTCTCACTTTTGTGAACACCCCCACCAAGAGAAGGTAGTGAGTAGGATTTCCCTGGCAGAGGCTATACATTCTCGTGGCCATATGAGAGCATTTCGAGAGGGAGAGCAGACTCCCCCCACTCTCGGCCGTACCAGGGCATTTGGGGGCAAGCGGTTTGCGTCGGCCGGGCATCGGTGGTTCAATGGTAGAATGCTCGCCTGCCACGCGGACGATCTGGGTTCATTGACTTGGTTGAGAGATGTATTATGTATGCCTAACTACTGCCTGATTTGACGAAGGACTTCGGCTGGTGTAAGAGTAGGTTAGAAGAAAAAATAGGGGTGGTCAAACCGAAACATGAAACCAGTTCATAAAGTCAATGACTGTTAGACTGATGTATGTTGGTAGATGCAGACTTCCTGGTTGAGGTCTATGCGATTATCATCTCCAGTGGATAGAGACGTGGGCTACATAAATTAGAATAATTGCTCACAATGAAACTTTTGTCTTTCAAAAGATCCTGAGTTTTAAAATTATCCTACATATTCTTTCCTTGTTAATTCCGAAAAATTAACTTTTTTTCCAGTTATATTCTCCGTTTAATCTTTCCTACTGCAACTGATACACTTAACCTTTTTACCACTACAGGATTAGTCATGATAGTTTTCCTTCACTATGATGATATGATGCATCAACTTGACCCGACGTACATATGACCCAGGATCTATGTTGCTTCTAACAGATTGACATGATTATGTATCCAGCTGTGAGCTATATTTTGTTTATTTTTCTACAAGAGCTAATGATACAAATGAAGTGATCGAAACAGGAAGCTAACTGTAGTATACATCCATTTATCCAGTGCAAACTGACTCGATATAGTCATTTTATTGTAATTTGCTATAAAATAGACGGATTATATCAAGCAATGTAGTCAGGATCATCCATTTCATTTATGTTCTGCGGTTCAAAGCTAGGAACGTGTGAATATCAACACTAAAATGTTAGCATATCTATCTGACCAGTCCCAAAATAGAATAAAACACATTGCAAGCAAAGATGGATAGTGACTAGCAGTGGAACCCAGGATACACGTTTCGTCCTATTTGGGACTCGTCAGATGGATGTACATGCATCTCAGAGTTTATGTTCACTCTGGGATTCGAACCTAGTACCTTTCGCTTCAAACGACATCGCGTTATCCACTCAACCACTGAGTCCTGATATTCACTTGCTTGTGCAATAGGATGAAGTTTAAAGTTTTGTTTGTTTGAATCTTTCCATTGATTTTTACTTCTTGTCATAATTTATGTTTTCTATAAAATTAATTTCATCCAAGAATCTAAGCTTGTAATCAATGTGTAGCTAGCTAGTTGTTAGATGTTCAATGTACAACTAGACATAACATTAATCATACAATTAACAATATTAAAAGAGAAGAATATTTAATTAAAACTTAACAACAATAAGCATAAACACATACATACAAGCAGTAAAGAGAGAGAGAGAGATCATTTCAAAGTGTAAGAACTAATCATTTGATTGTTTTTTTTAAAATTTTTTAAAAGGTTTCATTCATTTCTTTACTTGTACAGTTTAGTTAGTATTCTATGGTACAGCATAGAAACAATGTAGAAAAGTGAGTTGAATGTATTGAAAACAATGAATAAGGCAGATTAAAAATAAACCAATCAAAACAATTGACAACAATAACAAAAAGGTGGTAACTATGCATTAACTCTACTAGAAAATAAACTTTTGATAAAAAAAAACAAAGAAATAAATAGTTGAAATTATCAGTCAATTGAAGATAGACCATCATGGAAAACATGGAAGCGCTGGAAGGCCGTTCCGTCCTATTGTGGGACTCCTCAGCAGTGTGCATTCACGACCTCGCCTCGCGGGATTCAAACCCAGGACCTACTAGTCTCGCGCCAGAGCACTTAACCGATAGACCAGGTCTGTTGTGAGATAGGAACTGACTGAAGACAATTGGTGAATGGTTGTTCAACTTCGTGGATTGGTTGGAGTTAGACATAAACACGATGGGATGCCGGCTCAGTGGTCTATCGGTTAAGTGCTCTGTCTGGTAAGTCCTGGGTTCGAATCTTGCTCGCGAGTCAGGATCGTGGATGCACGCTGCCACTGAGGAGTCCCATGATAGGACGAAACGGCAGTCCAGTGCTTCTAGGTTTTCCCTGGTGGTCTAGCTTCAATTGACTCACGCTTTCAACTATGAAAATACTAAATCAACACAAAAACCACTTCTGATAAAAATAAATATATAAACAAATTCACAGAACTTACATTGATGATGACTTAAATGTGCATTGACAAATTCCATAAAACGATTAACTATTGTTTTATTTTCTGGATTATAAAATAATAACATTAATGGTAAACGTTCTTCAGTAATTTCTTCTGCATTACTAAATGTAATTTCACGTACCAAACTATTGCATTGATTCTTTACCCAATTATGTATTGCAGTAAGATCGGCATTTTTTAAAATGGTTAAAGATTTAACTTTAGAAGTCTATAATTTATATCAAAATAAAGAAGAGGGAAAAAGAAATTGGTTAGTCAAAATGATGATAAACAAAAAATGAAATGGAATCTTTTCAAATCAGCCAAGAGTCATTCTTTCTAAAAAGAATAAAATAGTTTTTTAAAGTTCTATCCAAATGACACAATTTGGTTAGAGATTAAAAAAATTGGATTAAGTGTTAACAGGTAGTGAATGATATTGTTCTATTCCCCCTTCATATATAAGTACACAATTAATTTTCTAATAGTTGAAATCATGAATCAATTGAAGCTAGAGCACCATGGAAAACGTGGAAGCACTGGACGGCCATTTCGTTCTATTATGGGACTCCTCATCAGTGCGCATCCACGATCCTGGGTTCGAATGTCGCGAGGCGGGATCGTGGATGCGCACTGATGAGGAGTCCCATAATAGAACGAAATGGCCGTCCAGTGCTTCCACGTTTTCCATGGTGCTCTAGTTTCAATTGGTTTATAATTTCAACTATTAAAATTACTATAATATCTACAAAAACCTTTCTGATAATTAATCTTTTCTTCAAAGAAGAACCATAATCTGGCGTTTTAATATAAAAATGTAGAAAACCAACCAATAACTGATATCCAATACTAATGGGATGGTTTATAACTTTCAGAAATTACTAAATACTGAAATGACCAATTACTCATGTGTAGGTTGCATTCGTCATAGATTGATATCAGTTTGAATACCATTGAAAACTAGGAAGCACTGGACGGCTGTTTCACTCTACCATGAGACTCCTAGTTGGTGTGCACCCATGACTTCACTAAGAATAGAATACAGTCGAACAATTAGCTATCAAAATCATTGAGTCAGCATCCAGTAGTATTATTTCACCTTCAATTAGTTAGCAATAAATTATGACAAATAATGATTAACAACTGAATGATACGAAGATAGATGAATTGCTTGTGAAAAAATAATTAATATGAATAGATAATTTCATACTCAAACACTCAAAGTATTTTGAAACTTGAAGAAAATGATTCATCTCTCATGAGTACGTAGTATTAGATAGTGTGTGGATAAAACTATTTTCCACATATGGGTACTGAAACTGTATAGTGAGTGACCCGAATTTTCGAATCCTTTAGAAAATATATGGTAGAACATTAGAGATGCCTTTAATTTGGTTAACAATGTGCTCGAACGTGAATAATAAACTGAAATGATGTTTGGTGCTTTCTAAGAGAAGACACAGGATCCATAAATTACTTGATAAAATGCTTGAGATATTTGGTTGGATAAGTCTGTCTTATAACGTTTCTTATCGAAAATTGACTGTGGATTGTTGACAAACATCAATCCAATTGGTGTGTTCCGCAAATTAAGTTGACATACTTTCAACATTCCACATTTTTTGCTAATATTGTTAGCCTACTTATTTTGTTTATAAGTAGTTGCATGTTTGGACGTGCATACGCACTGTGTAGTAACAAGCATATATTTATTTTTATTTTACCCAGTGAAATTTAAACAAACATTTGTGTGTGTGTGTGTGTATGAAATAGAAAATATCGACCGGCCACTAATTTATCACAATTAGTATTATGGTGAGTTATTTGATATTAGAATGAAAATAGAACCATATTGTCACCTTAGAATAATAAACATACATTGATTATGAAGCTTTGTAGCTCAAGAAGAAAATTTTAAAGATGTTATATTCTCTGACCTAGAAAACTTAATTGTAAGGCTTTTTGGTAAACCAAATTAGACAATAAAAGCTTTACAACTAAACGACTCAGTTGAAAGAGTAACATATACACAAACAATAAGAGAAAACAAATACCAACAGTAGAATTATGAGCAAGATGTAAAAACTTATCAAGAATTTAACTGACTTGTAACCAATGCTACATTTGATTACATTTATAGAAAACTATTTCATATGTAGCACCACAAGAAATGTGATAATCAGTCAATTTCATCATTTTATAACTAACTGATAACTCTATCTAGATATTATAATGTCACACCATTCTAGATAAGATATGTTTCATAACCAATACAAATGATTGTATACTGATTGTCATCCGACTCAATGATCTAAATAAAACAATGCCAGTTGTAACACTTTGTGAAACATTTGACTCGATCTTGTTTGCTGAAACATTCTGAACTAGAATATATCTATCAAATGTGATCTAGGATTTGAATAATCCAACAGCTTCTGTCAATTTATGACAACAACCCAACCTACCACTTACAATGAATAAAAAGAGATCTCTTCTGAATAGGAAAATATCCACTAGCTTCATGGTGTCCTGGTGTGTAGTTGGATTTTATTCAATAGTTTTAGTATCGATACAAGTATAAGACAATTTAGCTTATTGAATACCGAATGTCGTTTAAGTAGATGAATGGATATGGGTATTTTAGACAATATGTCACCCAAGTCGGCTATGTTTAAGTAGCTTTTCTGTAGTTTACATCACAGATTGACCTAAGTTAGTTAATCACTGAAAATCAAGAAGCGCCACACAGTTGTTCTGTTATTTTATGAGACTTCTCAACAATATGAATCCAAAATCAAAATGGAGATCGGGTCGTAGATGTATGCACTTTTGAGGAGTCCCATACCAGGACGAAACAGCTGTCCATTACTTCCTGGTTTTAAAGAGTTGTTTAACCATAATCAGTCAGTCATTTTAACTATAAAATTCAACCACTTCTACAAACCCTAATAGTAACCATATAATGTTATGATTGATCACACATGACAACTACGAGAAGCAGGGGTCAATTTAGATCAATGAAGAATCCGAAAGTGTTTATTGATATATATATATATATATATATATATATATATATATATATATTAGCGGAAACATCCACAATCTTGAGCATTTTCCATGATTTCACACACATTCACCATCACCTCGACAACGATGACGACGAAAGCAACAAGAAAAACATGAAATATCAGTTTTTCCGAGGTATATATATACACACACACACACACTTTACATTTCAAAATATACAGAGTTGGAAATAAATTGATGAATGATTCATTAGTGATGATTTTTATAAAACTTTAAAATTAAAACGTTCCTTTTAGACAATACAAAAAAGGCATCAACTAAGTAATAGGTGTGTGCTTTTTTCAACAACACCATCGAACAACAACAATAGTAATCATACAAAATGTTTAATCGACTAAAACAATATATGTATTGTGTTTAGTTAGCTAGTTACTTAGATCTAATCAAACAGATTTGTATTGATGAACAGTACAATGTAACTATTATTGTTTAAGAGTTAAATATGCCAAAAGAAGCTATATGATTAGTCATACTATGTACATAGATTCAAGTCAAATTCTAGCTTAGTTCAAATTGACTGAAAAAAGAAATCATATCGCCTCAAATTCAACAGTGAATGATCAAAATATAGATATAATAACTGAATCAATAAATTACATTTCAAGAACCTCATATGTTTGTAATAATAACCACTAAGTGCACTTTCTATCGATACACATAATATATCTCTCCTTTCTGTCTCTCATAAACTATACAACCTAATTGGTTATTAGTTTAAGACTATATGTATATTGAGGAAACAAAACAAAATCCTAGCCATTATACTAGGATAAGGCAGGTTGGGTCATTGTGGATAATAGATTCACTGAGTTCCTTATATAGCTTTCATCCAAAGATACATATAATCATCCTAATTAACTTTGTCATTGGTTGACTCTATTAAAAACTAATTAACATTCATCACATACTTAGTACATTGCCGTAGGATCAGTTGAGAGTTTGAGTAGAATATATCTATTTTTAATCAATGATATCGCCTTTTATATTTTAGTCAGTAAGTTATAAGCAACGTTGAATCAGGTACATAAATGCATTGACTCAGATTATTACACTACATTAGTGCATCGAGATTAAATTACCATGATGAAGTATTAATAGTAGTGTATAAGACACCAGGTATAGAAAATAAAACTCGAGAAGACTGAATGAATTTACAAAACAGAATATATGGGATAATTTTAATAATTAATATACTAAAGAAGGATAAAAAGTGACTGCATCTGAGCTGAGGAGACCGGTTCTAAAGTACTTTTACCAACATGTACTAGAGTCGCACATATATCAACCGGGTAGTCTGCATCTACCATATGGTTCAGTTCAAAAGTCAATGACTTCATGAAGTGATAGCACGTCCAAGTTAACCGTCCCCAAATTTTTTCTAGCCTACTACTACGTCGACCAACAAATAACATTGAGATAGATGTAGGTTGGGTACAAGCAACAACAGTATAATTCAACTATTTTCTAATAATGATACAAATATCTTAACCGTTGCGCAAGTGAGTGGCTACTTGGACTGAGTAGATCACTGGATAATGCCTTAGGCGCCTGAAGTGAAAAGCAGCAGGTTCGAGTACATGTGCGAACATCAGAACTAGGATGTAGCAGGTACATGCAGCAAACCAGTCCTAAATGAGATGAAATACATCTTGGATTCTGCTGTTAACCAGAAATCAACTGATTCTACAAAAACACGTAGCATATGCCCCAACTAGTGAAGTAGATGAAGACATAATTTCATCAACCAATTTTCCCATCTTTGCCTAGTATCCTATGGTCAACCACAGAATAGCTCACTCGCTGATCTCAGCACACAGGAGAAACACTTAGAAAGCATCTATGATCAAATACAAGTAATCTACATTTTGCAAACATAAAGCAGAATATAGAAAATTAAACTTCCATTCAAATTGTATACAAGGCCACTTCCGAAATATTTGTTAACAATTTATGTAAAACACACGGAGTGATGAATAAGTGTTTTGACCCGAACGACAAAACATACAGTATAAATTCAGTTACCTTTAAAATATATTTTGAAACAGAAAACAAGTAGACGCAGTACAACCTTAATTGACCGGGTAAACAATATCCGTGTGCATAAAACAACTCATGCCATTTCTGAGTCAAAAATGAATAAGTACACAAATATTAAATTATTACCAGTAATCACTATAAATACACATGAATTTGTCAAAGAAAGTGTTATATTCGAAGCGATTACGAGTTCACCTAGTCGGCGAACGGAACAAAGAATTGTGGCCAAAGACCAATAAGCTATCTATTCTGACGCATTCCCACCCCGCTAACTAGAGTGGGAAGTCCAAGTTCGAAGTGGGGAAATATATTCCCCAAAGCAGCCAGAGGCACAAGTAATCACAACAGGCACAAATCAAACGTACATATACAGCATAAAATTGTCCTTAAGAAGCACGTTACAAAACAGCATACTAGAAGATACAACGAATGAATAGCGTTTAAGATCCTCCCAAGTGGGAAATACGACATGAAGATGAAAAGAGCGCTTATGGCGCGAAAACAAGAAATTCGAATTTTTAAAATAAAATTACAAAAATAGGGCATTTACCAAGTGAGTTCTGGAGATCTAACATCTCCAACAGAAAGTATATTGAAAGGAACGATAGATGCAAAATATATATCATCTGTTCTTTGACATATATTCTGAAATTTGTGAGGTGTATGTTCACTCAGAAGTAATAATAAGTGTCATTTTCTGAATGCCAACTTATAGATTTATTTACAAGTGAGAAAGAACCTGTCTAATTCTTTATGTTCGAACAATCGACTGAAAAGTTATGCTTTCAACTTGAGCCGTGTACACGGTTATCAACTGGAAACTGCAATGATATCGCCCTGAACTAATTGGATATTTCTTACGCATTCTGTTTTCATGATCTGACGGGTCTACTTTTTTATTTTCAAAGTACATTGTTTGGAATTATGACAATTTTTGATTGTTACAGATAGATTATAATTCAAAATAACTAGAATTTCTTCATTGGTAATTCGTGTCATGAAGGGAACTAGGTAATGGCAGTGAAGCTGCTTGGTAAGGGCGTGAGACTTCAACGACTAAGGTAGCTGGGGGTATAGTTTACACTTAGTCAAAAAGGTGTACATCAATGTAAAAACGTGGGTATATCGTAGTAGGTTGGAAGAAGGCCAGACCAGGCATCCAACTAAAAGATGTCATCATTCAATGAAATTATTGATTGTTCAACTACGACGTAGTTTGTTCACAGTTTATAGTACTCGACATCCTAAACGAAAGTGAACACAATAAACGGTTAGTAAGACAATTTAGACAAACTCGTATGAATATGTATTACCCAATTTTTGGATAATGCAATTCATTTCTCAACTACAGGTATTATGTTTTTGTGTGCATGAGTGAGAGGCAATAATACTCTATCTTAAGCTTCTCAGACGAAGCAGATGGAGTGAGGTTCAAACCAGTAACCATCCACTGACTGAAAGCAAAGAGACTTCAATCATTAAGCAAGTGAATTTAAATATTAGTTGGGTCACATGAAGAGTCAGTCGCACGTACATTACGTATAATCCGACACACATGTACACCGATTCAATTTGTCACACTTAACCTAAGTATGATAAAATTGTCCAAGAGCAGTAGTAGTAACGGTATTAGTGAGAATAGAACAGATAAGATTCAAGAGAAAAATATGTATCGACAAAATATAAAAAAATTACATGGTGATATAGAAACTTCGAACCTGTCGGAAGACAAGAAGTGAATACATCTGCGTCATAGAGAAAGATTCTGAACTACGTCACCCAAAATCTCTGATCACTACTAGTTACGATAATTCTATATGAACAAAACCGTTGAAAAGATTATAGTATAATTTCCCTATTTCTTCTTTATTTATAAATTAAATGAATGTAGAGAGAAAAAAAGGCGGAAACAATTATACTTACCATAGTATCATACGTTGCAAGTCGTTCGTCATTCATTGTCAAACTGAAAAAGTAAGACGATGTGATTGATATTCAAGGTGAAATGTGAGGAAAGGAAATGGGAGGCGGCGGGCAGTGGAAAGGAAAGAGAAAATAGAAATAAAACACAATAAACTATGTATATTTACAGAATGCAAATTATGTAAACGGTATTTATTACCAGAAAACACTTACATATACTCTATTATGAATCGAATATTTTTATTTCACATTTTCCTATGTGATCGATTGGATTGTTTAATCGTAGATCCAACTAAAATTACGTCAGTAACTGATCGATGACACTTTTTTTAATCAATAACCAACTAATCATTAAATCGTACATACATTTATTGGTTTACCTAGATTCTTCTTCTATCATAATCACCAGAACATACAACCGAATCACTCTCTCTTTTTATTTCACTCAAACATTTCTATTCATTATTACTTAAATACTAACAAGTTCACATATCTTAATTTTATAGTCATATAAAACAGAAAATAAGAAATGAAGATGAATAATTAATTAAAGATAAGTTCATAAAAGTAAAATGAGTATTAAAATAGTAAGAACCATTGAAGTTAACCAGTGGTAAGTTTAGAAAATATTCAATACTTCTCAGACGAAGCAGGTGGAGTGAGGTTCGAACCAGTAACCACCATCTACTGACTAAAAACAAAGTGACTTCAATCATTAAACAAGTGAATTTAACTATTAGTTGGATCAGATCAAGAGTCAGTCGAATGTACACTACGTATAATCTGGCACACATGTACACCAGTGAAATGAATATTGAAACAATAAAAACTATTGAAGTTAACCAATGATAAGTTTAGCAAATATTCAATATTATATATTTATTTAGTATGTAAATGAAATGCATTAAACATTATTATTATCAGAAGGGGTTTTGTGGAGATTTCAGTATTTTCATTGTTGAAAGCATGAGTCAATTGAAGTTAGACCACCAAGGAAAACCTGGAAGCACTAGACGGCCATTTCGTCCCATTGTGGGACTCTTCAGCAGTGCGAATCCACGACCTCGCCTAGCGAGATAGTGAACGGTTGCTTAACTTCGTGGATTGATTGAAGTTAGACATTAACACCATCGGATGCCGGCTCAGTGGTCGGTTAAGTGCTCTTGCAGGAGACTAATGGGTCCTGGGTTCGAATATCGCGAGGCGAGGTCGTGGATGAGCAATGCTAAGGAGTCCCACAATAGAACGAAACGGCCGTCCAGTGCTTACAGATTTTCCTTGGTGGTCTAGCTTCAATTGACTCGTGCTTTCAACAATTAAATATTATTCTAATTTTGAAGATAATTCTTTGTTATATTCAACTCATTAAACTATATTACATTTTATTTTGCACTAGTTATAGACTGAAGTCGTTAGAGTTTGTCATATTTAAGTCACTTTAATGTATTTCTATGTCCATTTAAATAATTCACTAATATATCACACAGTTCTGATAATCTTCGTCTTCTTATTACATCATCAAAATTAAGACAGTACTTAATGAAGAATAATTTATATAATGGTATTAACAAGTATTGAATAGAGATAGTATTACATAATCAATCTATTTAAATGATCACATTCTCAACTGATCATGATAATTCTGATACAAATATACATGAAAATTGAATTAATCAGTTGTTAACTGTATTTCTTAAGATAAAAAAAAAACAAGAACCAACACATATATTTGTAGTTTTAGTTGATATGTTAAGCCCATATACCTTATTCCAACTTCTAGACTATCCAATTTACTTATCCATTTTGAGTCATGTTTTCAGCTTGTTAATTATTCACTTATTAACCCTGACTTTTTTCTTATACGAGCGTATATATATGTGTAAACTTCTTATCCTATTCATCACATATCTGTCATTTATTCTTGTCTGACTATAAATACTGTTTAACGCTTGATTAAAGTGAGTTGGCTTATCCTCTATCTTCAATGCATGTCATTTTTGTTTCGCTCGCTGATATTTCTGACCTGCATCATTTGAAAATAAAAGTGTTGCTACCGCTTCTTTTTGCCTTTTGATTTTATGCACCGCTAAGATTTGTATTATAACGGTTATTATGGTGAACGAGATTAACGAAGCACGTCACTACATATTTATTAACAAGGAATTAAATATACTAACATAGATACATAAATATAATAGATCTAATTATAATCTTTAATAATAATCAAATAGTAACATGCTTAAACTAGTTAATAATAATAATCTAATCAACAGATTGATATCATTTTTATAATTATTAAGTAGTATTATTGTGTTAAAGGTAAATTATCTATTCTTTGATGAAACACTCTTTATATCTGATACGACTAATATATAGTGTTATAAATTTTTTTAATACTTAACAACCCGGTCAATTTAAGTGTTTAGGGCAAAATATTTAATAGATATATTTTGTAAAGTTTAGAAGTAAACTTCTTTTTTTGGTTTTTACGATGAATATACAAAGGGGACGAAACGGCCGTCCAGTGCTTCCAGGTTATCCTTGGTAGTTTAGCTTCAATTGAATCACGCTTTCAACTATGAGAATATACAAAGATTATATATACACATCAGCTCAATTTGTCATATTGTTATATGACAATATTAACATAGTGAGATAAAATAATCAAGATGAAGATACCAGTATTAGAAGTGATTGTAGTACCAATGATAGTAAAAAAAAACAATTAACCATAAGGAATAGGAATGCAGTAAAAGTAATGACTCTTCATAGAACAAAAGGCGTAAAATAATTCAAAATATAAAGATCTAAAGAAAAGTAGAAATAACTTTTCTTTTAAGGAAACAAAGAGTGAATGCATCTTTGGCGTTGTAATCAACTCATAGGTATATCAACTGATTTCTTCAATCATTAGTCATAATGATAAGTACATAAATTGTTATATCCTAGCGAAGACATAAGTACGGGTAGTTTCCGGGACCTAATAATGGACGATTATTCTATGTATATTCTTATTGTTTAACTGCTGAGTAACTTATTTATTTATTTAAACACATAAATATTGGTACAAAGAGGCACCAGATAAATATGCGCCTCACAAATCTAATTTGATTTGTGTGTAGGCTGTGATACTGTCCGGGTGCCCAAACACGAACAGGTGGTCTTCTTAGGGGGCCAAATCCCGAGTGTTTGACTTGAAGGTCTGATCCACAAGGCAGTGGAGCATCGTGAGGAGATGCAGTCCCATGGTAGCCGGTGACCAACGATTGCTTATACGCCATTTGTTCCCTCAGAATACTGGAGCCCATGTGCACCATTGGTTTGAAATCAGGGTTTTCCAACTCCCCTAGGTGGGCTTTCGGTGTCCACCAACTAGATTGTGTACATCTACATTCATCTTACTACAAGCTTCATTTTGATCTATGAATTATTATTATACGAATCACTATCCCTCAATTATACTCAGTTTCCCACGTACACAGCCACATCTGGCTTGATCTCGTACAAATATTATTTTCTATTTTACGGTGTGATACAGTCTATCTGTCTGGTATATAAACCGAGTATGCTTAAAATAAATCATTCGCATAGCACAACCTGTGATTGATGTTTTTGGACTCAATTGGAAGGGCTAGGTGGACAAGGGACCAATAAGGACGCCGGAATGCTTATACTAGTTAAACTTCATTGATTTGACACAGTGTTAAGATTAGACAAGTTATATTCCGATTGGTGACTAAATCACGTGGTAAAAAGTCGAACATAAGACCCACAACAAATTGGCATACGTCCTATTTTTCATTAGGTCATAACATAAACAACATTGAATGATTAAATATTCTTTAGATAATTCAATATAATAACTACTAAATTAATGACTAGTAATACTTCAAGTTAAACATCAATTATGCTCATTAATATGTTATAAAGCTTCAATATAATTAACAAGTTCATATAACTCTAGTTCCGTTGAACTTTTCCTTTTCATTAAAAAATAATTTGCACACTTTATTGATTTAACTTTAAACTAATATGTTAAATATAATGGAGAAAATAGTGAATTAGATTAAATAGTAACTAAATCTTTACAACTTGATCTATAGTGTCTAGTTTATTGTAAGGATTTAGATTAATTTATAAGTAATTAATGTTATTAAACCAAAACTTTTTCTAAATTAATATATATCTAATATTTAGATAATAGTTAATTTTATATTTAACCTCAGTCAGTCAATCAGTGACAACGTAGAACTTCGTGCTTACGTACGTACATCAGTTCGAGTTGCCATACCACATTAGCACAGAGATCCAGCTGTCGATTCAAATCCCATAGTGGTAGAAGTAGTAAGAGTATAAGCATTGATGTGAAAGATTAGGGTTTGAAGTTGTTATTGAAGGAGTATAATCCGGTGAAATAAATTTAGAAAGAGAAAAAAAAGATAGGGACATGAAAAATTCAGATTAGAATTTGGTAGAATACAAACAGTGGATGCACCTTCGCCATTGCAAATGATTCTGAGCAATGTCATTCAACGTCTCTAACCATTGATTGTTATCATCTCGCGAATTCCAACCAGGTAGTCTACACTTATCAGCATGGCTCAGTCCAATTGTCATATTTAACCTAGAAGTTATTAAGAATGTATATATTGATTCATTTTGTCATCTAATATCCCCAATGTCTAATGTTAATGTTACTCACTTAGTGTTACTGATATAACCAAGAAATATTTCGAATACAATAACTATCATTATATATTTTTACAGACTACATAAGGTATTATTTTACAACTGAGCAGAATACTCTTTACAACAATACTTTTGAAACATGATAAAAACAAAACGAGACTTTCATGATAAATCAAACAACTGTAAATGTGCCTATATTTCTAACACTAACGAAGAGTGAGTATTGATCTATACGTCCGAATTTCTTTTTGAAAGCAAGACAGCATTCCTGACTTCGTTATTGACAAGACACAGTTAAGTATTAGATAATTATAAAAGCCAATAATTTACAATATTAGCTAGACTGATAACTCA